GGCAATCAAATAAATAGTATCTAGAATAAACATAAATAGTATAATATGTAACACAATAATGGTTTATTGGTAAATTATTTTTTAAGCTCACGCTATACATACAGGGAAACACTTAAATTAACTACAAAAAAAAAATTAACAACGAACATATAATACACTCGGTAAAGATTTTTTTTGTTTTTAAAACTGATATCCTGTACTTATAACATTTATATGCAATACACGTACTTATGACAAAGAATCGATTTTCAATTATAATGATAATTTATCAAATATGGTATAATAATTCAAATAAAATAAAAATAACTCGCGTAATAAAAAATATAGTAAATAAATAATACACACAGTGCTAGTGCACGTGAACGGACTATAATAAWAATAATAATAGGTAAGGAAGTGATGATAAATCAATTTGATAATTTAACCTAAATTGGCTGCAGTGTCGATAAAAATAATTTATTTGGTTGAATATTAAGTGGGTAGCAATAAGGCTTAGTGATAATAATAATTATTGTGTAAACTATATGAAGTATAACAAATATTATGGCATAAACTAAACAGCAATATATAAATCATCATTCGGTAGTTGAAAAAACAAAAAAAATCACACCGATTTAGATATGTATAAAGAATTTTGATTCCTAGGATGAAAAGTTAATTAATGTTATCATCACCCGACATGAACGAGTAACGTTTACCGAGGGTCCATAGAGACGATTGATTTTCAAAAGCATCCGTTTAAATTAGGACGAGTGCGTCTGAAAATTGATAGTCCCTTGGATTAACCAGTTTGTGGAAAACTTTACTCGTACGTAAGTAATATTATAATACATAAATGGATGACATAGAAATCTTATAAAACGATGGTTAAATGTGGATTATATCAAAACAAGATGCGAAGGAGCACAACGACTAGCACCGTGCCCAGGATCGATTTCGAGAAYGAAATTATGTTGTTGTCTATTTCTTTAATCTTCATCTCGTATTTGGACAATGTGGGTTTTTCTGTGAGCATCATCATTCCTGTCAATTAAAAAAAATATAAAAAGATAACCTTTAAATAAAAGTTATTGACTAAGTAAATACATGATCTACAATTTCATGAATGTTTATATAATTGTATATTTTTGTATAGAAACTACATAATAATACTGATATTGAGTATAAAAAAATATTATATAATATATTATGTAAAATAAATATGTATCTATATTATAGTCTTTAGGGCACAAACATGTTATGACATTAGTATAAAAATAGTACCTAAACATATTGTTATGATTGTRAGTACAAACGTACCTAATGCGTTTTAGGATAAAATTATCATACTTGCTGTAGCTTTCTTTGGCTCTATTAAAGAATATTAAGTATAATTTTATCAGCATTTTTTTATCGTCTATACCAGCGGTTCTTAACCTTTTGTAGAAAATGGATCCCCTATGAAAGATTTTTAGAAATCGCAGACACCCTACCATTTTTTTGACGAATACCTTTTTTTTACAAAACATCTCATGTTTTCATAAAATTATAATAATTATTTTATACTTCAAATTATAGAAAGTAGACATAGGTTAATCTATTAAAATATGAATTATATTTTATATGAAAAAAAAAATAATAATAATCCAAAAATATTGTAATAATGCACTCATATCACATATTGATTTATGTTAGGTGTCAATGCTGCCGTGGAACCCCGACATGAGTATCACAGACCCGCAGGGGCCACAGATCACAGGTTGAGAACCACTCTTCTATATCAACCTCTGAGACCCCTCATGTTACGAAACTAATTATATAAATATTTTGATTGCTGACTACATTTGAAATAAATTACTATATTGTTGGTTTGGTTYTTACCTGTATTTGATTGAACCGGACACTCATCTTGATATTTGGAGTTTGGCTTCGGCGATGGTGAGATAACTTTAAGGATTATCGAATTTTCGACGTCAGCGGATGACGAAATTGGAAACTGTGGTGATAACACCGGTGAAAATTTATCGTGACTGGTCACGACAACTTCCGTCATCACTGAGTTTTTGGTAGGCACGGGCTGTTCAATGGCAATGGACAGAGACAGTAGACTGGGCATAGATAAGACCCGGTTGCTTTCGATCTGTTGTTCATTCTCAATTTTCTGTTCAATGGCAGTAGACATAGTCAACGGGCTGGACTCAGATGAAATGTTTCCATCTTCAATTTGCTGATCGGTGGCAATGGGCAGAATTGGTGGACAGGAAATGGATGCAAAATTTTCATCATTCATCTGCTGTACACTTTCGATTTGCTGTTCAACGGTATTAGCCAGAGACTTTGGACAAGACATGGATGAAATTTTGTCATCTTCTATCTGCTGTATACTCTCGATTTGCTGTTCGATCACATTGGATAGAGTCACGGATGAAACTTGTTTATCATCTTCAATCTGTTGTTCAATCTCAAATGGCTGCTTTTTGGCCGTGAACAGAACCAATGGACCAGAAATGGATGAAACTTTTACATCATCTTCGATCTGTTGTTCATTCTCAAATGACTGCTTGTTAGTAGTGAACAGAACCAATTGACCAGATATGGATGACACTTTTTCACCTTCGATATGAAGTGCACTTTCGGTTGGCTGCTTGTTGGGAGTGGATGGATTTGGTGGAGGAGATCCAGATAAAATGTGATCACAAAATTCGTTCTGTAGTTCGAGTTCTGGCTTTTCAGCATAGACAGTGGCCAGTTTCGTAATGTCTGTTGAAAATCCAGAGTCAGTCACGCACATCAGTTGCTGCTGCTTATGGTTGACGTCATTCGTTTCCAACATCCCAAACTTCTGGTTGTTTTTGTCATTATCGTTGTTGTTATTATTGTTGCTCGTGAAACTATTGACGATGGACAGTTCTGAATACCCGGACTGGCTGCAGTTGCACTGATCATTAATTGAAGGTGGTTCCAAAAYCACTTGCTTCATAACTTCCACTGAACTGGATAGGTGACTCTTAGCCAATATCGGTTGTTGTTGTACGTCTAATTGTCTAAATGATTTGCGTTTGAGAGTAATTGGTGAAGACGATGGTAGTGGTGGTGGCCGCGGAGATGAAATGCTAGTTTTTTTGGTTGGCCTACATAAATTGACTGACCTCGAATGAAATGATCCTGTGAACCAATAACCGTAACAGTTATTTAGGAATAGAAATTCGTTTTATAATTTATAAGAGTTTTGCATACGTGTTTACTGTTTACACAGGAAAGTAATATATTTTAGTTTATTAAAATTAATATTATATTAAATATTGCGTACTATTATTTTTATGAATCATAAAACTAATTCCTGGTAATTTAATTTAATTTAATCAATTATATAAATATCGATTGCTGTTGAAACATGMATTTTTATCGAATTTTACAAATAAATGATGTTTGTTTCATTATCCTCTCGTGGTTTTTGTTATTTACTATCTAGGATTCTAGATAAGTGTACCATCTCGGCATCTTACAACATGCCTATTTAATTTACAGACACTGTGGCTTCTATCGTTATTTGAAATTTACTGGCCATTTTAATAGATATGTATTCATAATTTATACAGTCAGTAATCGTTTAAAAATTTTAGTGTAAACATTTAAAATAATTTATAGGATAAGCAATGAAATAGGAAGTGCATTGATCAACGAGAGAGTATAACATTTTAAGTTTTACCTTATAGTTTTATTAATTATAACTATATATTTTTCATTCATTGAGACGTAGTTGAATTGTCTATAATCTAAAAGATTTCTTCATATTAAATAGGGTTAAGAAACTTAAAAGRTGGTTTATACTCTTTGAACCCTTTCYCCCCGAATGACGTCAACATTATTTATTTGTATTAAAACAGCGGTTGTTTGAAAAAATTGGATTACCGTTTGTTGAGGATACGATAAACCATTAAATAGTATATTATTGTTTTTAATTTAATATGTATAATGTAAATATTTTCTAATTGTAAATTGGTATCTAATGCATAAAAATAAGGATAGAATGTACATTAAATGTAATTATAATTCTTAAATTCACTTTTCACAAAGTTTGCTGTACATTCATTATGTTATCAAACAGCATCAAATAATGGTAGGGATATTTATTTTATATCTACATTATTTGGTTAATGAGCAACCTAAAATATTATAAAAGTTCAAAGTGTTTATTAGTTTCTAAAAACAGCAATTAGTTACATTTTACTATATTTTAAATCAATTCTATCGGGTGATATGTTTAATTTCACACGAAATGTTAGTATCGTACCTTTGTACTAAATATAGGTACCTAAATTGATTGTAAATTTTTAAAAATTTTAACTAAAAAAAAAAGTTAGATAGTAAGCTGTTATATTTATTTTTTTATTAATACTAATATCACCTTATATAATAAATACATACATATATTTTCATCTATTATCATATAATAATGAAAAAATTTATTTTATCTATTCTATTAGATTTTAGCCTATTTTATTTTATGTATATTCTATTAAATGTTTATAGTAATAAATGATATACTACTTAAGGAACTCATCGCCTTTAATACAAGCTTAGCTTTTATTTGTATTAAATAACTTATTGTAAATTGTTTGTTAGCAAATAAATAAATATTAAAAAATAAAATGAAAATATGAACAAACAAACAATAAAGTTATATAATACAATAGAACTAAAATTKAAATTAAATATAATTTATACTCAACAAAAAGTAATATGGCAAAATGTTGTTTTCTCACACAATTGGAAACCTAAGAAAAATACCTTCGCTACTTTACGAAAAACCGAAACTGAAAATAATATTCATTGTGACATTTYTATACTATTATAAATTGTTTATGTAAAATTAATTTTATTATAAATTAGGTAYAAGGAAAACGTTCTCTGGTGTTAAACTAAAATATATGAAAAACATTTAATATCATGTAAAATTAGGTTCAAAAATAAATAATATGTTTTATTATAAAAATTAAAAACAAAATATTTATAAATAGAGGTAAATAAAATTCAGTTGATTGATACTTTTTATTATTATATTTAGTTTTTATCTAGGTTTGAAATGTTTTTAAAGTGTTTATACTTAAAAATTTGATATTCTTGAATACTAGAGTGCACTGCAGTATTGCATGTACGAATAAATATTATGAAAGCAGCGTAATGTTCTGCATTACGACGTAGTGAAAATAATTGGCGATTATAAAAAAAAGTAACCCTGTTGTTTATTTACTTAAAATATATAATGAAAAAAAAAGTTTAAACCAATTAATTCTCAGACAAGAAATTTTTTAATAAACGTACTTAGTAGTTAATCGTATAAGCACAGTTCTGTAACTTCGACGGAAGACAATTTATTCGAGTATGCGCTGCAGTGTATAAACAGCTTTTATATATCACAACAGTTCATGAAACTCTAATATGATTACTTTATGAAATTATTTTTTTTGGATCATTGGTAGGTGTATATACAGAGCGATAGTGACTGAAAAACTATAATACAATAATAGTGAAATCATGCAGTTCATTAGTTGTACATATTTTTAAATATCCACGTACGTGTAAATTGTGTAATAGGTAGACGTACATTATTTATTGTAATGTATTGTTACACATAACAAAATAATTTCGATCACTTTTAATCCCGATATATATTTTTTATATTAACTCGAGTCGTAGGGGTTTTATTTTAAACACATTTTAATTTAATTGTTTAACATGTGAAAAATCTAATTGTAATTATGGCGTGAGTGTCTAAAAATAGATGGATAGGTAACTGCAGTATGGACTCATAGGCGTAGCATGGTTGATTTTTTTGAGGGGGCTATAGYCTTTTTTTCCTCGTAGAATCAATGATGCTGCTGGAACTTCTTGTGAATTATTTCAGCGAAGGGGCTAGGTCTATAATTTGGGTACAAACATATATAAGTACTAACAATTTAACTAAAGAAAAATTTAAAGGAATAAAATATAAAAAGAACTAAATAAGCATATATTTAAGTTTAATATAAATAAATAAAATACCATATATCATATTATCAAATWCATATTTTATAATTGAATTAAGTGTAAAAAAAACATTTTAAATAGGAAATTATTACCTACAGTATCAAGTTTAAACGTCTACTTTTTTGCGCAAATATATTAAGAACATCTTCAGAATTAATAATATTAGCTAAGTCCCTTTCAATATGAAGTAATGAAAGATTTTCAAATAGTTCATTTTTACACAAGGGGCTAAGAAGAATTTTAGGGGGGCTTAACAACAATTATGCACTGTTTTCTTTAATGATTTTTATTTGTTGAGTGCTACGTAGGTATTGCAGTGCGTCACAGTTTACGATTTCTAATCGGTCAATGGCAACATTTTATAAAAATTCATAGCAGATATAATATTATGTATAAGAAATAACATTATATTTAAAAGGTATTTTTCTCTTAATCTTATTTATATAAATGTAAGAAACAAAATGCGTAAATTGAAGAAATTAATTAAAATAATATTTAAGAATTAATTAAATTACTTATTAAATAATAATATAATATAGACTTTCGAATAGGTAGGTCTATGGGGATATTCGATGATTATTATCTTATATGAAAACTATAAAAAACTGTTGTAAAACTGTGCCTAAGCATATGGCTGTTATTTAATAATAAACTGTAATGTACTTGATATAACTTTGGACTGTGCTTCGACATCATTCGACGATGAACTATCACACGAGACTTTCACTGTGTTAAGGTCTAAAACATAATTTAAATTGGGATTGAAGTTTTTTCATAAATAACTTAAAAATACACACGTGAACTATATATTAAAGTCAGTTGCTATGGATTAATAATAGTAGCAATTGTGTCAGTGGCAAGCTCTAGGAGAGGAGCTATAGACCATTCCAACCCTGCTATATAATATATTATAAACACTATATTATAGAAATGTTCATATTTTTACAAAAATAATTGCGGCTAAGTAAGTTTTTTTAAATAATTTATACGTGTTAGGACAATATTTTATAGTAAAAATAAACCGTAATGACTGTATAGAGTATATATATATATATATATATATATTAAATTAATTAATAAATAAATATAATATGATGCCAACTAAATATTTAATACTTGGAATAAAATATAATTACTAGATTTTAAATAAATATAAAGAGGATGTCATAACCGCATATTGTATTTTATTCGTCATAAAAACGCACCTACCTACATACTAAATTAGCACTTAGCAGATGTAATTGTTTTTGTAGCTATAATTCTAGAGTGAGTAAATCAACTTATTAAACAATGAGCTACATTATAGGTTTTATTTTCTTATTTAAATTTAACAATTATTTTAGGTTATAATCTTTTATATTTTTCATTTTTTCATAGTTTTCTA